CTTCTGATGCTGCTTGGCCTGCTGTGTTCATCCAGCTCTATACCTTGTTATCTCAGATTCTCCAGCATCTGCAGTCCCTACTATCTCTCTAACCTTCTTCACTGTCCGCTATTCCACCAATCTCGGTGTCATCTGCAAACTTACTAATCATATCTCCTAAATTCTCATCCAAATCATTTATATAAATGATGAGTAACAGCAGACCCAGCACCAATCCCTGGGGCATACCACTGGTCAGATACTCCCAGTCTGACAAAAACCCACAACCACCACCACCTTCTGTCTTCCACCATCAAGCCAATTTTGCATCCACTTGGCCAGCTCTGCCTGGATTCCATGAGATTTAACCTTACTTGACAACCTACCATGCATTAACTTGTCAAAGATCTTGCTAATTCCACGTAGACACTGCCCTCATCTACTTCCTTGGTCACCTCAATCAAATTCGTGAGGCATGATTTTGCACACACAAAGCCACACTGACTATCCCAAATGAGTCCTTGTCTCTCCAAATGCCTGTAGATCCTGTCTCTCAGAATTCCCTCTCGCAACTTACCCACCACAGACATTAGGCTCACTGGTCTGTAGTTCCCAGGCATTTCCCTGCAGCCTTTCTGAAATAATGGCATAACATTAGCCACCCTGCAATCTTCAGGCACTTAACCCGTGGCTGTGGATGATACAAATGAACCCGCTAGGGACCCTGCAATTTCCTCCCTAGCCTCCCACAAAGTGCTGGGATACTCTTCATCAGGTCCTGGTGATTTATCTACCTTAATGCGTTTTAAGACATCCAGCACCTCCTCTTCTGTAACGTGGACTCTCTTCAACACATCACTGTTTATTTCCCCTAGTTGCCCAGCACCTATGCCTTTCTCCACAGTAAATACTGACAAGAAATATTCATTTAGGATTTCGTCCAGCTCTTGTGGCTCCACACATAAATGACCTTGTTGATCTTTAAGAGGCCCTATTCGCTCCCTAGTTTCTCTTTTGCCCTTCACGTACTTGTAGAATCTCTTTAGATTCTCGCATACCTTATCTGCCAAAGCCACCTTTTAGCCCTTCTGATTTCTCTCTTAAGTGTACTCTGACACCTTCTATACTCCTCGAGGGGTTCACTTGTTCCGGGCTGCCTATAAATGCCTTCTTTTTCTTGTCCAGGGCCTCAATAACTCTAGTAATCAAGTTCCCTACTCCGGCCAGCCTTACACTTCACTCAAACAGGAACATGCTAGCCCCAGTTGATGTGAGGAAAAGTTAAAATCCCCTACTATTACAACTCTATTATTCTTGCAGCTATCCGTGATCTCCTTACATACTTGCTCCTCAATCCTCTACTGATTATTTGGTGGGGAAGGGTCTATTGTACAATGCTGTCAAAGTGATCTCCCCTTTATATTTCTCAGTTCCACCCATATCGACTCAGTGGACACACCCTCAAGAGTGTCTTCTCTCAGTCCATCCGTGATGTCTCCCTAATCAAAATGCAATTCCTCCTCCTCTCTTGCCTAACCTTCTATCCTTCCTATAGCATCTGTACCACAGAACATTGAGATGCCAATCTTGTCTCTCCCTCAGCCATGTTTCTGTAATAGCTATAATATCCCAGTCCCACGTACCCATTCATGCCCCAAGTTCATTCGTCTTATCTGTCAGGCCTCTTGCAATGAAACAAATGCAGTTTAACCCAGACTTCCCTTGCTTCCTATCTTACTCTTGCCTGCCCTGTCTAGAACTAGGATTACCAACAGTGCCTTTACTAGTTAACTTGCTCTCATTAACTTCTGTACAGCCCATAACCTTGTCTCTCGACTTTGGATCCCAACCCCTTGCCAGATTAGTTCAAACCCTCCCCAAATAGCTCTAGCAAATCTCCCTGCCAGAATATTGGTGCCCCTCCAGTTCAGGAGCAACCCGTTCCTCCTGTACGGGGCACCACTACCCAAGAAGAGATTCCACTGATCCAAGAATCCAAATCCCTGCCCACTCACACCAGCTCTCAAGTCACGCATTCATCCACCAAATCTATGCTCTCACTAACACATGGCATCGGAAGTAGCCCAGAAATTACAACAACTGGAATCCTGGAACTCCCTCCCCGACTGTGCTGTGGGTGTCCCTATACCCCACAGACTGCCATCGTTAAAGAAGGGGCAGCTCAGCACCACCTTCTCTAGGTAAGGGGCACTAAATGCCAGCCTCACTAGTCACACATACATCTCCTGAAAGATTGAAGAGAAACAACTCTGCACAGAACAGATGGTTAAGATAGGACACTTGCCTCTATTTGCCGAGGCAATGAACATAAGAGCAGCGAGGTTACTATGGAAGTGTCTATGACATTACTCAGGCCACAGCTGGAGTACTGTGTCCAGTTCTGGTCACTGCACCGAAGGAAGGTTGTGACTGCACTAGAGAGGCTGCAGAGGAGATTCACCGGAGATATTCCTGAAATGCAGCAGTTTAACTATGAAGAGAGGCTAGATAAGCTCCAGTGTTTTCTTTGAAGCAGAGAAGGGACCTGTCTGAGGTCTACAAAGGCAGACACAGGGATGACAGGAAGAAACTTTTCCCTTTTAGTAACAGGATCAACACCAAAGGGGTATAGCTTTAAATTTAAAAAAAAAAGAGCAGGAGGTTTAGAGGGGATTTGAGGAGAAATCGTTTCAGCCAGAGGATGTCTGGAACTCACTGTGTAGAGGCAGGAATCAGCACAATATTTAAGAAATATTTACTTGAATGCTTGAAGTGCCATAGGATACAACGCTGCGAACCAAATGCTGTGAAATGGGTTTAGAGAGGTGCTTGATGATTGCTTTGGACACGATGGGCCAAAGGGTCTCTTTCTGTGCTGTAATACTCGATGACCCTCTCTAGTGCATTGTGTACTTCCGAAATGCAGTCCCCAGAACTGGATACGACATTCCAACCGAGACCAAACTACTGTGGCACACAAATTTATTAGCTTAGATCACTTTATATATATAAAGTAATCCAATAATTACTACATTACACTACTTCAGATAGATTTCAACAAAACTATTAACTTAAACTACTTTAGATCTATTCAAACGAGGCCATCTCACATCCTTTCACCCGTTGAGAACCCTGGAGATGGCTGGCACCTGGAGCTTAATCTCAATTTCGATGGCACCGTTCGTGAACACAGTCCAATGGTGAAGTCCAAAGAACCAGAAAACGTCCCCAATATTAATAATATACTTGATTTTATGTTATTTTACTTTTAACATTGATCCCTCTGTCTCTGCACCTTCTCCGCTGTAACAGTATATTCTGCATTCTGTTCTAATTCCCTGATGTACTTATGTATGGTATGATCTGCCTGAATGGTATGCAAAACAGTACTTTTCTTTGTCTCTCGGTACATGTGACAACAATAATAAACCAAATTCAATCAAATATGCTAAACTGCCTCTTCTGAGTACTTTTCCCAAGCATTCCTCTAGGCTTGGCATCAAAAACAAGTCTCACTGTTGCTGCAAATCAGCCTGTTCTTACGCCAAGGCCATATTCTTGGAAAACAGCCAGTTTTCCCGTGCTTTTCCGCTCTCCATCAGTTGCTTATTGCCATGTCCAATTAATACTCAATGATCTGGATTGGAGATATCATTTTGCGGTGCACACACTACAACTGAGATCTTCAAACCAGATGATCAGAACCTTACATAAGCACGGACGTATTGTTCAGTATTGGCAAGCTGATAAAGTTTGCAAGCCATTACATAAGTACAAAGTATATTATACAAAGCCGTTAAACCACTACAGTCACTCATGAACTTGCTGATCCCTCAGCAGATCAGATGACTGAGTGAATCATTTTGCACACTTGAAGGAAGTGAACATTTTTTCCGGTGTTGATTTAAGTTGGAAGCCCGAGTAAATCACTTCCCACACTTGGGGCAGTTGAATGGTTTTTCTCCAGTGTGAGTTCTCTGGTGGTTATGCAACGTGGACAACTGAGCGAACCCCTTCCCACAGTCAGAGCAGATGAATGGTTTCTCTCCGGTGTGAGTCCTCCAATGTTCACGTAACTTGGATGACTGAGCAAATCCCTTCCCGCACTCGGCGCAGGTGAATAGTTTTTGGCCAGTGTGAGTTCCCCAGTGTGAATGTAAGTTGGATAACTGAGTGAATCTCTTCCCACATGCAGGGCAGGTGAATGGTTTTTCTCCAGTGTGAGTTCTCTGGTGGTTATGTAAGGTGGAAGACTCAGCAAATCCCTGGCCACAGTAAGAGCAGATGAATGGTTTCTCCCCAGTGTGAGTTCTCCAGTGCTCATGCAAGCTGCTAGCTTGCATGAGCACTGGAGAAGTGAGCAAATCCCTTCCCACACTTGGAGCAGGTGAACAGTTTCTCTCCTGTGTGAGTTTGCTAGTGTACACGTAAGGTGGAGGACTGGGCGAATCCCTGCCCACAGTCAGAGCAGATGAACGGTTTCTCCCTAGTGTGAGTTCTCTGGTGCTGGTGTAACTTGAATGACTGAGCAAATCCATTCCCATACTTGGAGCAGGTGAATGGTTACTCCCCGGTGTGAACCTTCTGGTGCACACATAATCCAGATGAATGAGCAAACCACTTCTCACACTTGACATAGATGAATGATTTCTCCCCGGTGTGAGTTCTCTGGTGTATCTGTAAGCTGGATAAATGAGCAAATGCCTTTTCACAGTTGGAACACCTGAACAGTTTCTCCCCAATGTGGATTCTCTGATGTACGTGTTAACTGGACAAATGAGCAAATTCTATACCACACTTGGCACAGATGAATGGTTTCACCCCAACGTGAGTTCTCTGGTGTATCTGTAAACTGGATAAACGAGGAAATCCCTTCTCACACGTGGAGCACGTAAGTGGTTTCGCTCCAGTGTGAATTCTCTGGTGGACATATAAACTGGATGAATGACCAAACACATTACCGCACATGGTGCAGATGTGAGTTACCTGGTGTTTCTGTAAGCTGGATAAATGAACAATTCCCTTCTCACACTTTGAGCAGGCAAATGGCCTCTCCCCAGTGTGTTTGTGTCAATGAACATCCAGCCTGGATGGAAATCTGAATCCCTTCCCACACTCCACACATTTACATGGTTTCTCCATGGTCTCCAGGGCCTCCAGATTGAAGGATCAGTTCAATCTTTGTCCAGACACAAAACACGTGTGCAGGTGCTCCCTGCTGTAAATGGTGCAATTTTTTTTCAGTCTGTGTAACTGGTGAAAGCTCTTTCCGCAGTCACATCACTGGAACAGTATCATTCAGGTGCGTGCATGTTTCGTGCTTTTCCTGATGCTGATGTTTGAAATCTTTCCCCTCAGATAAACATTTCTCATTGCACAGCCAGAGGGCAGTGACGTTCAGCTCCTGTTGAATGCAGTGACTTTGTCAGATCTTGACATGATGTTGCGTTTGGGTTTCCTGATCTAAACCCTGCTCTTCTAATCCCCGTGGCAAGAGATGTCAAACCTGTTCACTGTCAGTAAAGCAGAGAAATCATAATCAGGCAATTCCAGTTTCTGTGGAGTATTTTCCTCTCTTGCTCCCACCAAGTTATAAATCTCCATCTCTCTCATCCTCCTTCCTTGGCTAAAATCCCAATAAAATTTTGCATAATTATCTCCAACTCTTTCGTATTAATAGTTAACAATTGGAGTCCCAGCCTTGACGCAACTATTGAAATGTCGGCTGCATACGCACATGGACGTTAAGGAAGGAAATCTGCGCTGCGCATGCCTGCGCGCCCCACGGGACTTGATGATTGACGGAAGGCCCAGACCAATAGGACGAGAGGGGGCGGTGCTGGAGGTCTACTCGGGGCTAGACCTCCAACCAATGGGAGTGAACGAAGGGGCAGTCTTGGAGGACAGCGCGGGTATAGTCCTCCAACCAATGGGAGTGAATGAAGGGACGGTGCTGGAGGAGCGAGGCTGCGCGGCTTGTCCGCTTCCGATTGGAGACAATGAAGAGGAATTGGCAATTTCAGGTGGAGATGTAGCTCAGAAAGTGAGAGATATGAAAGTGGTCAGTAAACCAGGGGATAACGGGGGCCAGGCCAGGACAGAAGAGAAGCTGAGTAAGTGATGATGTGTCGAAAGCAACTCGTGTAATGTGGTAATACTAAACCGAAAGAATTGCGGATGTTGGAAATCAGAAACATAAACTGAAATTGGCCAGAAAAGTCAGCAGGTCTGGCAGCATCTGTGGAAGGAAATCAGAGTTAACGTATAAGGTCCAGTGACCCTTCTTCAGAAGGGGTTCCTGGACCCAAAATATTAACTCTGATTTCTCTCCACAGATGCTGCCAGACCTGCTGAGATTTCCAACAATTTCTGGGTTTGTTGTCTGTGACGTGATAATACTTTGAGAGTACTAAAAGCAATCCGTGCCGAATTAGAATTAGCTTTATTGTCACATACTGAAATGAGTACGGTGAAAAGTGTGCAAGTTGCTGCTTATGGCACTGTCTTAAGTACAAAAGTCCACACGTACAGCTTTATCAGTTACAGTTCATGGAAAAATAGAGAAGTAAAAATAATGTCCAGCATTGCAGATTTAGGAATAAATTAGAAAATGGAGAAAAAAGTACAGAGAAACTGTCTTTCGACCCAGTCTCTGTTGACACGTAGCCTCTCCGAGACCAGAGGTCCACACTGAGACCGTGCCAGGCCAAGAGACCACCACATACTGCCTGAAGATCACCACACTTGGCCACTGGGAGATCGCCAGGCTGAGGGGGCACCATGACAGGCCGAAAGACCGCCACATACTACCTAAAGATGACCATGGTGGGCCAAGAAGCTACCTTGGCTGGTCTGTGCTGAGGCTAAGAGTTCCAAGGCAGCCAGTTCAGAGGCTGGCAGGTCATTGGGAGGGGGGGGGCATCTCACCTGGGATCTTCCAGCCTTCCATCTGTTGACTGTATATACAATTCCTGCCACATCAGGAAGGTAGCCAACATAGGATTTCTCCCACCCCAGATATCTCCCTTCCCATCTCTCCCGTCTGGTAAATGAAATAAAAGATTAAGTACGTACAGCAACAGATTCAAGAACAGCTTCTTCCTTGTTGTTACCAGACTTTTAAACAGACCTCTCAAATTTTAATGAGGGTCTCTCTACACCTTCTGTGCAGCTGTAACACTGTATTCTATATTCTGCGCTCTGTTCTATTACCCTGATGCACTTTGTATAGCATGCCAAACAATACTTTTCATTGTACCTCTGTACATGTGACAATAATAAATCAAATCAAAAAATTCCCCTGCAGGCCTCCCAGCCCATCATCCCTGAAACCTGCACAATCTGCTTATGCCTTCCTCCCAAAAACCACAAACTGAACTGCCTGGGCAGACCCATTGTTTCCACCTGTTCTTGCTTCAGGTAGTCTATTTCTTCCTACCTCGATTCATTTCACTTTTTTTTTTCCTCCCCTTGTCCAGTCCCTCCCGACTTCTGTGACTCTTCTGACACTTGATATCAGTTTCAGATTTTCTAGTTCACAGGCAGCATCTGCCTCCTTTTCACCACAGATGTGCAATCCCTTTATCTGTCCATCCCATGTCAGGAATGGTCTCAGGGCTCTCCACTTCTTACTGGAAAGAAGGCCTGAACTGTGTCCACCCAACACCACTGTTCTCTGTTTGGCTGAGCTTGTCGACATTTCAAACAACCTCTCCTTTGACATCTATCACTTTCTTCAGATCAAAGGTGTGGCCATGGGTACCCACTTAAACCTGTCTCTTTGCAGGATACGTGGACTGTTCCTTACTCGGTCCCCTCCCCACAGCTCTTTTCTCCAGTACATCAATGACATAATTGCTGTTGCTTCCCCCTCTCATTCTGGACTGGAAAAATGTATCAATTTCACTTCCAATTTCCACCCTGTTCTCACCTAAACCAGGTCAATCTGTGACTCCTCCCTTTCCTTCTTCAACATCTGTTTCCATTTTTGGGGATAGGGCTAGGTTAATGGTTAATTGGACATGACAATAAGTAATTGAAGTAATGTGGAAAAACACATGAAAACAGGCTTGGTGTTTAAAAGAAAGCCTGTTTTGGCTGGGAAGTAACTGCATAACCTTGATGACCTGTGTGGCTTCCTCTACATCGGGGAAACCAAGCGGAGACTCGGGGACCGCTTTGCAGAACACCTACGCTCGGTTCGCAACAAACAACTGCACCTCCCAGTCGCGAACCATTTCAACTCCCCCTCCCATTCCTCAGACGACATGTCCATCCTGGGCCTCCTGCAGTGCCACAACGATGCCACCCGAAGGTTGCAGGAACAGCAACTCATATTCCGCTTGGGAACCCTGCAGCCCAATGGTATCAATGTGGATTTCACAAGTTTCAAAATCTCCCCTCCCCCCACCGCATCCCAAAACCAGTCCAGCTCGTCCCTGCCTCCCTAACCTGTTCGTCCTCCCACCTATCCCCTCCTCCCACCTCAAGCCGCACCTCCATCTCCTACCGACCAACCTCATCCCGCCCCCTTGACCTGTCCGTCCTCCCTGGACTGACCTATCCCCTTCCTAACTCCCTACCTACACTCACCTTTCCTGGCCCCATCCCCGCCTCTTCGACCTGTTTGTTTCCTCTCCACCTATCCTCTCCTCTATCCCTCTTCTATCCGCCTCCCACTCTCTCCCTATTTATTTCAAAACCCCCTTCCCCTCCCCCTTTTCTGATGAAGGGTCTAGGCCCAAAACGTCAGCCTCTCTGCTCCTATGATGCTGCTTGGCCTGCTGTGTTCATCCAGCCCTGCACCTTGTTGTCTCGGATCCTCCAGCATCTGCAGTTCCTACTATCTCTGACCTGTGGGAAGCATCATTTTCTGTAGTTGAGATGGAGCCACCTGGAGATGTTTTCACTTTACTTTTCCAGACATTCCATTGTGCAGAAAATAATGAAAGTCCTACATAATGATGATACAGTATATTACCAAAATAGTATTAATATCGGGGACTTTGTCACATCTGTTGGACTTATCCCATCAGACCACTGGATGGAGGTTCATGAGACCAGTGATATGGAATCTGAGATAGAACTCCAAATGCCACCCATTCATAGTCCCATGCATGAAGACAAGACAGAGATTCATTAATTTGTATATGTATAAAGTGGTTTAAACTAATGGATTTGCTCATTACTTTGTATATATGTTAAGTAGATTAAACTAATAAATTAGCTATATATTGAAGTGCACGTCTTGTGATCATTTTGATCAGACCTTAACGAACCTGTTAGGTAATTTTAGAAAAACAACATATCTTTGATTTATTATTGTCACATGTACCTAGTTACAGTGAAAAGTTTTTTGTTTTGCACGCAGTACAGGCATATCATACCATACAAAGTGCATAAGGATAGTAGAACAGAGCAAGGAATACAACTTTACAGCTGCAGAGAAGGTGCACAAAGGGTTAAGTTTAAAAGTTTGAGAGGTCCATGCAGAAGTCTAATAACAGCGGGGAAGAAGCTGTTGAATCTCTTGCGTGTTTAAGCTTTTGTGTCTTCTGCCCAATGGAAGATGTTGGAAGAGATTGTAACCGGGGTGCTGTGAGCAGAACCTTGTTCGAGAAGACGATGGGTACTGTGGCTGGGGTAAACAGTCTGTGCCCCAGAATGTACATCTAATGATGGGCTCGATGGGCTCAGTGTGCTAGCGAACCAGTTGGCTGGGTTGGGCCAAATCCAAAGTTAGAGCAAAATCCCAGGGGGCTACTCCATGCCATTGTATAGAAGAAGTAGGTTTACCAAGCAAACCAGGAGTGTCACCCAGAAGGTGGCTTTTGTTGACCAGCCTCCTCATGTTGTCTCAGGAGGCATGAGAACTAAGGAAGACAAATGGATAAATTGACTCCTGTGCTGGCTGCAGCAGAAAGCAGCACTGGCGGAGGTGGCTTGGCCTGCTCAAAAAAGGTGCAGATAAAGCTAAGGAGAAGCAGACTATTCTGGCCTGCAAATTGGCCGCAGTCTGGCACAAAAAGCAGGAGAATGGGAGAAATGTGGCAAGTGAATCTGATGACAGTGCTCTTTATTAGCTTCAGCTCATTTGAGGGAGAGGTATCTACAATGAGCCCCTTTATATTGCAAGTGAACTCTGGGTGTTATGTGAATTAATTTAGTCATTCCACTTTTTAAAGAAGTCAAGTTAAATGGTATAACTTATTTCCTCTTTCCTTAAAGCACTATACTGTCTGTGTTCTATTTAGGTTGCAGAAAGAGTCCTGGCTGAATGGTAAATTTCAATTATGATTACCTTTTATGATTGAATTATTGTGTTTGGAATTTCATTTTCTGGCAGGAGTGAACTTCCAAATGATATTGTGGTATCTTTAATTCTGGATAATAAGAGTTGCTCATCTTAAATGTTTTTTGGTGTGAATTAGTGCTATTAAAATGGGGAAACTTCGAGTTTTGGAAAGGTAAATTTCTTTGAACATAATTATCCGATGGCAAAAATCAAAAGCTGCAAGACAGAAATCTGAGAGTGAACAGCAACTGGGACTGTTATCTTGACAGACAAGGTGTCTGACCTTTAAAATAGAGCTGACAATGTTTCCCTACCTTTCCTTTTCCTGTGTAGTGAAACACAGTGTGTGGTGTCACTCAGGACCTGGAAGGGGCGGACTAAAGAGTAGGACCCTAGGCACAATAAGAGAAAGGATCAACAAGTCCCTTTCCCCCAGTAGAAGTTAAAGTGGCCCTCTGAAAAGTGGATTGCATTCACAGAGACTTCCTATGACAGTGACAAGGAGACTATTCCTTTACATTTGACTAAAATCAATATTAAATGAAATTCGAAACAAAATAATTAAATCATGAAGGTAGTCTGAAAACATCATAGATTCAAAACTTTCAAATTTTACTTCATTGAAAAGTTTAAACAAAGTTCTTTTGTAAACTGCTGTAGACAAAATGTTGTGGGGGGGGGGGAAAGAAAGGTTTTGTTTGTTCTTAAAACAGCAATAAACTTTTATGAAACACATCCAATTTGAACTCGGGATTTGGAATGGGAAATGTTTTTCCTGTGGACTTTCTTTTAAAAGCACCTTCAAAACAAGCAAGAACGAGAAAAATTTCCATTGCCTTAAAGAAAACCTAAAATGCCAGTTTGAGTTTATTAGAAGACTTTTGAGTTTGTTAAAACTGAATACATGAAAGTATGATATGACGTCACCTGGTGACTGGAGCTCTGTCCCTTCTAAAACCAGCAGAGTTAACGCTTACTGTCGACAGTTTTAAATCTTCTCTCACAACTTTTGTGTGGTGAGATGTGTTTTTAACCCACTGGCCTTCTTCCAGAGCCACAGAGGAATTTGTTTGTTTTTGTTTTTAAACAGGTTTCAAGAACACAGAAGGGAGCTGAAAGTCTTGTGGAGACAAAGCCTTTGAAAATAGGAGAACCCTGAACTGACTACAATCAAACAATGTAAGACCATTGTTTAAAACCACCAAGCCTGGACATAACTGTTTCTGAAATTGGGATTGATAAAATTACTTGATACAAATTCAAACACACAATGAGAAATTCAGTTGCATTTTACAGGGCAAATAAATTTAAATCTTTAAATCTTAATTTAAAACCAGAGCAAATGGAAACAGACTAGGTGGTTTTAATTTATATCAGAAGAAAATTAGACAGATTGTTTGGGAAAAATTTAATTGACCACTAATGAAACATGTGAGCTCAACAACACTGCTGAGCCTGTAGACGAAAGAAACCTTTGTGTCTGTTGTTGCCAATTTTTGTCAATATCCAATGAAATCAAAGTGTATATAAAATTAGATAATTAACAGTTTTCTCTTTGAGATATGCGTGCCCTTGCCTATGAGTTTTTTTATTCAAAAGGAATTAATTTGACCACCACCCAGAACACTGGGACAAGGCAAAGAGGATTCACAGGCACTGTCCACTGACTTTCAAAAGACTGGCTGAAAGTCAAGAATGCATGGCATGATTGTGGGATACTGACGTAAGTGTGCAGAAGTGATTTTTACGATGTAACAAATGTGAAAGAATACGTGCCAAACTGCACTAAAGTACGAGTCTCAAACATGTACACCCACTTGACTAAATGGTTATTGTGGCCAGGGAGAGCATAAAAAGCTTTGTGGATTGTGTGTCAGTGCCTAATCATTTAAAGCAACTGACTTTAAAACAATGAAAGTGGTATTGGTGAAAAGGAGGTAAAATTAAAATAAAGGGGCAATTGGCTATTATGTCAAAATGTTACAGAGGTGAGGGGACTTGGACTCTGGAGGAACTTATGGTGGGCACCAAGGAAGAGCCCATCAGATGACCTACAATTACTCCATCTTCATCGGTTGTGTGATACTTGTACCCCAGTGTTTATGGCAGTAGGTGAAATTGTAATGTGCTAAGACACTTGGTGTAAGTGAAAAAAGGCTGAGCTAAGACTCGAGTGGAATCAGGGAAAAAGGTGGGAAGTGTAAGCAGAAGCTAACACAAAATGAAATGTTTGCTGCTTTATTGAAAGCAGGAATAGGTGTGTTAAATTCTATGGCTGTTGAGATCCGGCAAAATAAGATGGCTAAGGTCGGGCAACTAACTAGGGAAGCTATCTGCTGTATGGACCCAACCATTAGCACATAGACATTTGGCAAATTGGTTTCTGCAGCACTGTTTGGAAGTTTGCTGGTAGCACAGTCTGGGAAATCGATGGATCTTTGTGCTGAACACACTGTAAGTTGTTCACTCCGTATGGCATGAACTAACCATTTCATTGCTATCCAGACATCTGTTGTCCTCGAAATGATTGATTATTTAATCTCGCGTGCTAACTTAGCACTTCAACCTGATTTGTTAAAGACTAATTGTAGTGCCACAGTATGTAATGCGACCCTTTTGGTTTTAAACCAATATGGTGCCAGTTTATCATGCTACCCCATCTGCTTAGGGACATGCTGTGGATACCCATGTGTTATGACTAACAGCAAGATAACAACAAAAAGAGCCATCAGGAAAATGATTGAGAACAATGGTCAGAAGGTCTAGTATGCATCCTTCCAAACCCCCATGTACATTGCAGCATAGCAGGGTATTTGTATAGGGAGAAAGTCAATGGTGCAACCATTCACAAAATGGATGCCATAAGAGTGAGTACTACTGAAGCTTTAGGCGACCACCCCTTAAATATATCCTACCAGTGTTGCACGGTGAGGATTCCTAAATTGTCCACTGTGCAAATCAATTGGTTACGGCTGTAAGTCATGGCATTTTCTTGCCGTAAGAAGTCATGGTTCACCATGGCCAAATGAGATGCTGTGTAAAGATAGCCCTCAATTTCTTAAATGTTACATGAGGAGGAACTCTCCTCAATTGATTGGTGGTATGATACAGAGTTATCATTAATTATGTAGGGTTTATGTCTATGTCTAATTGCAGCATAGATAACATAAAGTTTGTTGCTACATCAGTTCATGAGTGGTTCCTCATTAAGATAGACAGTATGAGTGTTGGTCACACACATAGTTCGGGCCAATTTCGTGAATGGTTGTATCATTGAGGGGTAGCTTTCTGCACGTGTAAGTACCCCTGCTAAGCTGCAATGTACATGATTCAAAAGTAGGGGTATGGAAGGGGCATACTAGACCAACTGCCAGCTGTCCAAAGTCCCCAGCATGAAAATAAGGCAGTAAAACTTTAGATAACAAGGTGTAGAGCTGGATGAACACAGCAGGCCGGGCAGCATCAGAAGAGCAGAAAAGCTGATGTTTCGGGTCTGGACCCTTCTTCAGAAATGGGGGAGGGGATGGGGATTCTGAAATAAATAGGGAGAGGAGGGGAGGCGGATGGAAGATGGATAAAGGAGCAGATAGGTGGAGAGGAGACAGACAGGTCAGAGGTGGGGATGGAGCCAGTAAAGGTGAGTGTAGGTGGGGAGTTACGGTGGGGATAGGTCAGTCCAGGGAGGACAGACAGGGCAAGGAGGCGGGATGAGGCTGGTAGGTAGGAGGTGGGGGTGGGGCTTGAGGTGGGAGGAGGGGATAGGTGGGAGGAAGAACAGGTTAGGGAGGTGGGGACGAGCTGGGCTGGTTTTGGGATGCGGTCGGGGGAGGGGAGATTTTGAAGCTTGTGAAGTCCTCATTGATACCATTGGGCTGCAGGGTTCCCAAATGAAATGAGGTGCTGTTCCTGCAACCTTCGGGTGGCATCGTTGTGGCACCGGAGGAGGCCCAGGATGGACGTGTTGTCTAAGGAATGGGAGGGGGAGTTCAAATGGTTCGCGACTGGGAGGTGCAGTCGTTTGTCGTGAACCGAGCGTAGGTGTTCCACAAAGTGGTCTCCAAGCTGCTGCTTGGTTTCCCTGATGTAGAGAGGGGCCACATCGGGAACAGCAGATACAGTATACCATATTAGCAGCTGTGCAGGTGAACATCTGCTTGATGTGGAAGGTCTTCTTGGGGCCTGGGATGGGGGTGAGGGGGGAGGTGTAGGGACAGGTGTAGCACTTCCTGTGGTTGCAAGGAAAAGTGCCGGTGGTGGTGGGGCTGGTGGGGAGTGTGGAGCGGACAAGGGAGTCATGGAGAGAGTGGTCCCTCCGGAAGGCAGCTAAGGGTGGGGAGGGAGAAATGTCTTTGGTAGTGGGGTCAGATTGCAGATGGTGGAAGTGCCAGAGGATGATGTGTTGGATCCGGAGGTTGGTGGGGTGGTACGTGAGGACGAGGGGGATTCTGTTTTGGTTGTTGTTGCGGAGAGGGGATGTGAGGGATGAGTTGCAGGAAATGCGAGAGACATGGTTGAGGGGGTTTTCGACCACTGTGGAGGGGAAGTTGCAGTCCTTGAAAAAACGAGGACAAACGAGTAAAACTTATCAGTTTGCATATGTATAAAGTTGCTTAAACTAATAGATACACTAAGTAGATTAATCTAATAAATTAACTATTTCTTGAAATCTATTTGTCTTGCAATCATTTTGATCATTTGGTCTCCAGCCGAGGTGTGAGAAACTTGGCCCTTGGTTTTCCTCGTCGCCTTCCTCATTCTTGAATATTTTGCTCAGACCCTGCTTGTAGCACCAAGTGTATTGTTAGGCTGAAAGTGCTAATGGCTTCTTTAAAGTCTGATCAAAATGAATACAAGAAGACGTGAGCTTTGATGTGATGCAAATTCATTAGCTTAATCTACTTTAGATGCAAACTAATGTGTGAATCTATTAGCTTAAATGAGTTTAGACATAGTCAACAAGCAAGTCTCACTGCCTTCTGCCTGTTAGCAGTGACAGCTGGCACTTGGAGTTCTATCTCAGTTTGCGTAGCACTGGTCCACAAGCCCCTGTCCAATGCTGAGAGTCCATTGTCTTCATCTGTTGGCGAAGATCAATGAGGAACAGAGTCCCTGATTAATAGTTCTGTTCTGGTTATGTCCTGTATCACCTTTTCAAAATAATTCCAGTACATTTCCTCAAAAATAGGTGAAAAACAAGTCCAGGTGGCTTCATGTAGATTACACAAACAAACAGCTCCCACCAACCCTCAAGGTCAGGCTGTTTTTGCAATAGGTTTTGTTTATCATGTAATTTTCTGCTTTACTTCGATTGCTCATTGTCATGGCCAATTAACTCTTAACAATTAACCATTAATGGGCTGGCTTGAAGATATTATTTTTGAGCCTAACATTAACATTATGTCTGGATACTCAAGGCAGCCACACTGCAGAGAAGCAGTTTGTCTGCTCCAAGTGTGGGAAGGGATTCACTCGGTCAACCTACCTGGTCAGACAACAGCGAGGTCACACTGTTGAGAGACCTTTTTCATGCCCAAATTGCAGAAAGTGCTAATAACAGTCCAAAGACATGATGTCCCATCAACATGTACATACTGATGGGAGGCTGTTCAGCTTCGGGACAGGGTTTAGGGGATCATGTCAAATCGCTGTACACCAGTGAATTCACACTGGGGAGAGACCATTCACCAACTTGAGTATGGGAAGGGATTGACTCAGTTATCCAACTTGATCACATATCAGTGGGTTGATACTGATGAGAGACCTGTTAAAAGCCCATAATGCAAGAAGTGCAAAAAAGATTCCAGGGAAGAAGTATCCATCAATGTGTTCATCCTGACAAGAGATTGTTCATGTGCTCTCTCTGGGCGACTGGGTTCAAGAGATCATCTCAAATCACTGTACATAGGTTCCATGACAGTGAATCCCTTCTCTCTCACAGCAGTAAATGGCCTTTCCTCTGTGTGTGTGTGTGCACGTGTCTGCGGGAAATGTGATCCAGTGAATCTCACCTTACACAGGGCAGGTGAACGGTTTCTCCTCGTCTTACATTGGTAAATTTCTACATTAGACAGGTTTCTGAATCTCTTCCCACAGTCCTTGCATTTCCCTTATTTTTCCTTGAGGACCATTGTCCTCCAGTCTCCACAAGTTGAATAATTGGTTGAAGGATCAGCTGCACAGAACATATGTACAGGATCTCTGCTGTAATAGAATTTTATTTTTTAATTGGCATAACTGGTTAAAGCTCTTTTCATAGTCAGTGCACTGCAACACTCTCACTTGAGTGTGTGCATGTCTTGGTACTTGTCCTGTCACACTGTTTGAAATCAATCCCCTTAGACAGAACAGGCAAACATATTTCTTTCCACATTTAAAGGCTGATGATGTGCAGCTCCAAATGAATCAAGTAGGCTCGGTCAAATCATAAGGTGACATTGTGTTTCAGTTTCTGATCTGTAAATCCTCCCATTCTAAGCATCTGGAAAAGGAGATGACAAATCTTTACTGTGTCGACAGGACATAAATTCTGATTGGGCAATTCTAGTTTTCTATAGAATGT